GCGCCTGCAGCCGGACACTCCACCTTTAGGACAACTCAAGGCAACGGCGGAGGGAGCCGCAGGCGCCAGCAGGTCCGACCGCTCACAGGAATGGGCGCTGCGGCCCGGCCGGTGCAAGTTCCTTTACGCTCAAGCATCGACGGCCCCGTGACTGTCACTCCCAGAGACCAACCTCTGAGGTCTCGTCACGGCAGATGCCGCGACGCCCCTGGAGGAGGATGGACGGCCGCAGGCCAGGGCAGAGGGGGAGCCGTGGGGATTGGGAGGGGGGCTGTCGTGTGGACAGGAGACTGGAGCGTGGGCGGACCACTGACACGTGAACCGAGGGGACACTATTTAAAAATGAACCGAAAACCTGTTCACAACAGCATGAGGCACCTAGTACCCAGGAGTAAATCCGGTGGAGATGCGGCCGGCGGTGCCCAGAGGAAAAGGACCCGAGCAGCGCCCGCGGCCAGAGACCCAGCGTTGCTAGGACCATTCCCCAGGCCCAAGGTCAAGGCCATCCTATCAGAAGTCTAGCGGCTTTTCTGTTCAAGCTCAGAAGCCAATTCCAAAATGCATGTGGAAAAGCGAGTCCCTTGGTGACCCGTGAAGACCGAGGTGCGTACTCCATCCAAGAGTCCAGGGCTCATCAGGGCTGCGCACCCGGCGGGCAGACCGCACAGACAGCCACCCGTCGCTCAGATTCTGACAAAGGCGCCCGCCCACCCGGCCACAGGGAGTCTCCCTAACAGACGGGGCCGGAACAGAGGGAAAGCCACGCTGACCGCCCGTCCGTTTATGTGAAATGCAGGGACAGGCAACAGTAACTACGGTGACAGAAGTGGCCGCCCTGGTCAGTGGTCCGAGTGTTGGCCTGCGAACCTAAGGGTTGTGGGATCGAGCCCGGTCAAGGCATATACCCTGTTTGGGGTGCATATGGGATGCTTCTCCCCCCCCCTCTAAAAAATGTTCTCGGGTGAGGATTAAACAAAAAGGGGGTGCCCTCCAGTGGGCCGCTGCCTGCAGCCTGTGCCGTGGCGGCCACGTGGGCAACCACGTCAGACTCATCACGGGACGCAGGACTTGCGTGGACTTCCTCCGGCGTTCGCTCAGACTGACCAGAGGAACAAACCGACGCCGCAGTTAGCTACGCCGACACCCAAGACTGAGGCCGCCGTCTGTCTGGCACCAGCCTCACCCTGCCTCCGGCAGCCCTGTGCACTGGCCAGAGGCGCGCGCGCACACACACACACACACACACACATCCATCCACAGCAAGCACGTGGCCAACAGTGGCAGCTGGGATGGAACACTAGACAAGGGGCACCTCTGGAGACAGGGCCCACCTTGTTTAAGGCACGGAGGCCGAGACAGACACACATACTCTCACGTCCGTGAAACTCAAACAGGGACACTGTGTGGCTTCTTCGTCTGTCCAGGCCCTTGAAGAGAAACCCGCAAACTGGTGGCTTAACCCTTTATTTCTGTCCTGGAGGCGGGAAGTCCAAGACCAGGGAGCAGAGGGACCTGGTGCTTCGAGAGCGGCCACCTCGCTTGGTAGGAAGAGGTGCTCAGCCCATGTGGGGGGGCCCCACCCTCAGACCCAATCACCCCCAGGGCCCACCTACAAATCCCACACCCTGGGGGCTGGGCTTAGTACCTGAACTTGGGGGTCACAAGCCAAGTGGTTAGCTATAGGAGGTTGGGAGTCCGGGGGTGGGCCCCACACTCCCTGGGACAGCGCATGCGCTGGAGGCGGTCTGTGCACCCCGTGACTGCCCCTCACTCCCACCTCAGCGATCTCCGGGGGCAGGAACCACCAACCCCATGGTCTGAAGGCCAGGTTGTCAACAACTCAGGTAAACTGAGTCCCACGTCCCCTCTGCTCACCTCCATGGCCCAGGCCTCTTACCCCACCACGATGTGAACCCCATGAGGGCTGGCCAGGCAAAGGGCCCGGCTCTGGGCCCCTGGCACCGCGCCTCCGAGGGCAGCCCCAGCCCTGCCAAGGCCT